AAACAAAAGAGCAATCTCGGATTTGTGTATGAAATTCCACGTTAATGAAACTATTCACTGCATGTGCTGAAAAAAATTTCATAAAATGCGAAATATTATGGAAGAAAACATCACGGCTCCTTGGATGTAATAAACTTGACAGCCTCCTGCTCAGTAATCTGTTGCTCAGGAAAACTCGTTGTACCAAATATCGTAAAATTTGCTAACAAATCATTGGGTAGTGGCATCGTTCTATCTTCAGAGTTTGCCAAGGGAATTAAAAGTGCCTCCCTGTTGGGGGCAGTTGTGGGCATACTGTACATAAGCATCAACTTTGAAGCAACAGTAAGAATAAAAATTATTCAATAATCAGTAGTACTCTTGTCTGAAAGTTAATGCCTAGGTACGCAAGATCCGCATTTAAATGGTGCACTTCAGATCGTGTCATTGCAAACCTTGAATGGCGTTTCTTCTACCGGCTCAAGAAATTCATAAACGCAATGTCTAAAGGCTTCGTTGTGAGGCTAACGTTCCAAGTCACATGATTTTATGAAGACGACACCTCGGAAGAGATAGTTTTGTCCGATTGGGTTGGGCGTGGCATCTTCCATTTAATTAATAATGGTCACTTTTATTTCAGCGTTGCCCTTAAGGATAACGTAAATCGGTCTCTCGGAATGCTAATGAAATATTTGACCAACGCTCATTACAATTCTCCGTCGTTATGGGAAAAACCAAGTTCAACCCCGCCTCTTTCATTGTATTATTGGTAGATTATCATTTTCGAAATTTGTTGTTTGTCATCGCCATCTGATTTATGAGGGTCAAAGATCGGATATCTACATTAATTATCACAATATAAACAATGATTCTAAATTTTAAAATCGTTCGTCTGGTTTTTTATTCTGGGGTTCCATAAGAAATTTACCTTAATTGCATTGCAATCAGTTACATATTTCCGTTGTGCTGTTTGTTAGCCATCTGAGGGTTAATTATAGATCTTCCCCGCTAACGAAACTCCCCTGCGTCATTTTTCCCTTAGCAACAATCCCTTAATGTGGCAGTTGTTCATTGTCTGTCCGTATTGGGAACAAGTCCCATTAAAACGGAGCAAAATATTTCGAAGGGATAACACATGTACAGGAACACGTTATGTTTGCGGATATGTTCAATGCATACAATGTGGGATAGAATACAAAAATTTAGTAACGAGACGGAGAAGCATGATCTATGCCGTAGCAGGCGAACAGCTTTAACAGACCCTGTAAGGGTGTGAACGTTTCGACGGGTTTACGGGTTTTCAGCATCCAATCTGGCGTGTACCTTTCTGACTGATGCAGGGGTTGAGAAGGCGAACTCACGGCAACAGCTCGATCGCCAAGAGACCTATAAGAAGTGCTTAGGTAGATTGAAAGTGAACGATTTGCAACATTTTTATAACTGTCTTTGGCTTCTTGCGCCTTCACGCTTTTGAAGTCTTTGCGCTGCATGCTTCAGCTTGCGTATGAGGAATGAGGATTGTCGCATTTCCTCACGGGCACGAGGCATGTCTGCCACGATCAGCAACAAAACAGTCACCTTCACCATTACAAACTGTTGGTAATTTTGAAAATGAAGCATGGTTTCTACCAGAATCTTCAACCACTGCGGGAAATCGATCACGTCAGGACGGGTTTCGTGGAACTAAAGCCATTCTTTGACAGCTTGAAACGCAGACCCTGCTTGAAGGTACCTTGGCGAGGTTGATCAGCACCTGAATGACTGAGTTCAGAACCAGTGATGTCGCAACGCTTCGGTTTGATTCGGCTATGAAATTGTACAACACCGCGACGTATCCGGCCGATGCTACTCGTTTGCAGCTATTCGATGACCACTGAGTGACAGTTCCTGAAGTGAGTGATAAGTAGTCAACCGTTATCCATTGTTTGATGCTAAGGAGTTCATTAAACTCACTTAAATCGTCGACCACTTTCTCCAGGAAGCATAGCCTTCCGGCATCCGCCACCTGGCTTAAGACGAGGTTTGTTCGACAGCCGATCGTCTTTTCTGACTTTCCCAATTTGTTTTGCAAGAGAACCCTTGTCCTGACAATCGTCATTTCAACCTCTGAACCGCGTCGCGTGCAGAAACCTCGCCAGTGCGACTAATTTTAAGTTTTCGGTAGGCTGCAAAAAATGGTCAACCGAACTCAGCGAGAAATACCTGAATTTTCACAGCTGCTCGACCTCTTCGTTCCTGTTCAGCTTGTGACAGTAGTCTCGATTCGTACAGCTGAGGTGAAAAGACGATAAGAAAATTTCATATTTCAGCGTCGAATATTATTGCAA